TTGTGGAAGAGGGAGCAGAGAATTCTCGTAGCCAGAGGTCACGAAGGACCCTCTGGCTTCTGGTCAGGATGGACTGTTGAGTCAAGGATTCACAGTAGCCATGGTTACCTGCACGAAACCCACACAAGACCAAGCCAGCTGACATCCCAGCATGCATCACGAGGAGTCGAAGACATTCTACAGTGCTCCTGAGCCCCTGTCTAGCTGAGGAACTATTGGCAGGAGCTGGCTACTGGTAGAGGGAGTCGGGTAGTTTGTTTTTTAAGGGTGTGGCCTCTGGTAAACCAAACTCCCTCCAGTAGGATATATCCATGGGTATATGAGCAACACAAATTGGAAACTGTCGGGGCGGGGGGCGAGGGGGGGGACAGAGATGAAGTTGGAACATGTGTAAAATTCTCAAAGAATTGATAAAAAAAATAATACATTTATTTCTTTCCTTCTTTTTCTTTTCTTTTTTTTTTTTTTCTTCAAAGAATGAGGCTAAGGTGTAAAGGCTTTGCATCCCCACTGTGGGAGAGCCAGGGCTGTCTGGCACACTGCCATTCCACAGTCCTCTCCCAACAGTGTCCTTTGTGACTCTGGAAGAAAGAAAGAACATGCTTTTCCAAGACTCCTTTGCCAAGGCCCATGGGTGTTGCAGAGAGGCCCCTGGCTTTGCCTGCCTCTGTCATGAGACAATTCTTAGAAGCATGACTAGCTCTAAACCTGTCAGGGGACCTTCCCTTCAGGACAAAAGAATCTAAGTTCAACCAGCAGTGACCATGGTGGCCATCATCCCTTCCCCAGGGCTGTGAACACTGCTCCCAAACGCACTGAACTGACAGTGCCTGCCTTTCCATATTTAAAACCTACAGCAAGCAGAAAAACAAAAACACAAACAAACAAACAAACAAACAAAAACAACCCACTGCCTGCCTTCTCCACTGTAAGGCATTCTACAGAGCCAGGGTCTCACACTCCAGGCCAGCTCTTCCCCAACCCCGGCTCCATTAGCTACAGGGCGTCATGGTCCAGGCCAGGTCTTCCCCAACCCCGGGCTCAGTTGGCTAATTACATGGACTTGGCCCTTGGCAGTGCCCAGGTGGCCAACACCTGAGCTTCCTGACCAGGTGTTTCTGGGTGAAACGGGCTTGGCTGGTGCCTTTAAGGACGTGGGAAGGGAGCAAAAGACAAAAGCTACGGAGAATCGAGATGAGGAGCAGACAAGGTGGACAACCATGGGAGCTGCTGCAGAAATAAAACCCAGTGCCCATGGGGGGGGGACATGATGGGGGGTGGTGAGGTCCTTCGGCATGCCTCTGAGCAAGTGCCGTGACAGAGAGGGCGAGACCTCCGACGCTCTGACGGCCGTCAGCTCTGTGACCTTGAACTTCCGCTCTCCCTTCTGTAAAATGAGATTAGTAATGCCTACCTCCTAAAGGCCCCATAATTCAGGAGATGGTGTAGGCAAAGCTTTTGGAGATGGCACTGGTTACTTCCCTCGGTGCTGTGGCAAATTACCTGGCACACCGTAGCTTGAGGGAGAAAAAACTTCCTTCTGGCTCCTGGCGGGAGGCAGAGAAAGCCCTGCAGCAGGGGTGTGAACCACAAGGCATCTGCAGCTGGGAAGCCAAGAGAAATGCATGCCGATGCTCATCTCACTCTCATTTTTATTCATCCCAGGACCAGCCACCTTTTGGGTGTATCTCCTCACCTCCATTCATCTAGAAACTCTCTCTCGTGATGGAGGTTTGTCTCCAAGATTAATTAAGGCCCTATCAAGTTCATAATCAATATTGACCATCACAGCAATTAACAATGGGGAGCTGGTAGGAGGCTCATCACGGCCAGGTCCCCTAACTGGAGTGAGTGGCTAGAAATTCTGAGGGCAGGGTTCTCAGGGCAAGTTGGTAGTTGGGCCCCACAGACTGAATATGGCAAGAGGCACCTTCCCCTTCCTGGACACCCACAAAAAAATCACCCTCGGGTTCTGTGGGCCCCTGAAGAATTGCAAGAGAACCCAGAAGCATGAATTTGGTGCGTTTCCTAAGAGAAGCCACAATGCTTAGCTTCCCTTTTGTTTCCAGAGTCCAGGGCCCAAGTAGCCACCAACAAAGACTAGGGACAGCCTGGTTCCATAGCCACCAACAAAGACTAGGGACAGCCTGGTTCCATAGCCACCAACAAAGACTAGGGACAGCCTGGTTCCAGGATGTTCCAGCTGGGGTGGGGGGAGCAAGAAACTGGTAAAAGGCAGACAACTAGCTCAGGTGGTGGGGGTGGGGGGGTTCCTCACCTCCCACCCCTCCCAGCAGGCTTCCTCAGATGGTTGATAATCTCCATGGCAACCTAGAAGTCCTGGTCACCTGAACTCCCCACCACTTACCCGGCCTAGCCAGACAGCTCCTAGGATAGCACTTAGCCACCAGAGATCCCTGAGCCAAGGTGATTGTGCATTGTTTTGCAGAACTGTGAGGCCACAACTTCAGTCCTGAAACCAGGTGCCGAGGTGACGAACACTTCCCCTTAACGGTTGGGGTTTTATCGAGCAGGGAATCAGGTCTGATGAACACTAGAATAATCAACCCGACTGAAGCAAGGACATTAACGGGCCAGAATAGCAGGCCATGCATGGCCCATGGGTAGTTTCTGGAGCGCTAGGAACCCGAGTGGCTGCTGCTTTTAGCCTTTCTACGATAGCTTCACCTGAGGACACAGCCACTTCTCATCACGGCTTGAAAAGAAAAAAAAGAAAAAAGAAGAACTACTTGAGTTTCAGGAGGGTGCAGCCGTCGCCTGCTAGCCTCTGGACCTCGTGAAGAGCTCTTTCCGTCTTCATGGTGGTCGCTTCAAGTGCATTTAGGAAGGAAAGCCAATGGAGAAAATCACCAACTCTATCGGGATTGTTGAGGTGGGGGAGCACCAGGCTCTCCCAGCCCTGCCAGACAAAGAACAAAGGCAGGGATTGAAAGCAAAGGACAAAGACACAGGCCTTTTCATTTAACTTCAAGGGCAAGTTCTTCAGGTTGGCCAGGGCGGCGTTTGCCAACCCCTCACCTTGGCTTCTCCCCAGGGGAAGGGGAAGCATCTCCAGCCCCTCTGAAGAACCCATAAAACGGCTTTTCAAGTAGGACTGACCTTTCACCAGGTGAGAACTCTGGCTTTCTCTTCAGGAGGAAGGACGCAAGGCTGGAAATACACCTGCAGGACCGACAGACTAAATGAGTAGCTTCCCCAGGGACCTGGGCTGCTCTGCATTCATCCGCCCAGGATTTAGTAAATAAACTCTTCCCTCCCTGGCCCGGTGGGAGCTTTGGGGCGTTAGCACATGTGACTCCGCGATTTTGGGGAGCAGTTACAGGGAGAGACGGATACCAGCAGACAGGTGGTTGTAACTTGGACTAGCTCCCCCAGCGGAGGTGGAACAAGGGGAAGGAGAGCTATGGCTACACTTGGAAATTCAAGGCCAAGGCCGGGGCATTTCACTGTATGGAAAAGGGGGAAACAGGATTAGGAAGGGAGATGCCCGGAGGGCAGCAATCGGAATTCTAGCTTCTCGTGTCCCTGGGCCTCATCAGAATGCCTGCCGCTGAAGTCAGGGTCATGGTTCTGTAGGTAAAGTGCTTACCTGTGCACATGTGAGGGCCTGAGTCAGAGGCCTCAGAGCCCACTGAGAGCTGGCATGGTGGCATATGCCTAGCATCACATGCTTCGAGGGTGAGATGGGAGGAGAATCCCCGGAAGCTCTCAGGCACTCACACATATTATACACATCTCATACACAGAGAGAGAGAGAGAGAGAGAGAGAGAGAGAGAGAGAGAGAGAGAGAGAGAGAGAGAGAGAGAGAGAGAGAGAGATTAGAATGCCTGTTGTCCAATAATATGGAACCAAAGGTGAAGGCCAGGAGAAGGAACACTCATCCATCATGAGAATTTTTAAGAAAAGTAACTAAGGCCATGGCCTTTGCAGGCTGTTGCATTTGAACTCTCTGCTTTGGCCCTGAACCAACCAACATGCCTCTATCTAGAACCATTTCTGCTGCTGCTGATTAAAATTGATGACTACTTTGAAAAACTGAATAACCAATGTACCTATTTCCTTCAAGATCTTCAGATAGATTTCTGTGTTGTAATCAATTAAGGACTATTTACCAAGCTCCTCCCAGGTGCCATATCCTGTGTGACATCTATAAATAAATCAGTAGAAATGCAGCTAAAGAAGAGGTGGTGGATAGCATCATTGCCTGCCTTTCCTTCCCATTTCTGTATTTCTGTGAGTTTGAAGCCCAGGAAATAAATTCCTCGGGAAAAGATTTAGCTAGTCACCCTTCTCTGGAGGTTTATTTTCTGTGCAAAGAGCCAGACTTGTGGAAGAAATCAGGGCAATGGTGGCATTGGACAAGAGCAGCAAATGATTCCAGTCTAGGGGGACTAGGTTTCTCCATCCCCAGCAAATGGGGGTACACTTAGAAGTTAGGGGGGTAAATTCCACATATAAAGCTTCCCCACTTGTGACAGATGTGGGAGGACCCGTTGGTGAGTGGAACCAATAAGAACTAGACAATCTGCCCCAAACCACTCAGGCTCGGCCACCCCACAGGACATGCATGCCCTGGGGCTCTGTGTTCCTGAGCCACTGAGCCTTCTGGGAATGAAGACCAGCTTCCCAGGGGGCTCAGTGACAATGGGGAATTGTGTTCTGTCTCCCAGCTTGCCTTAGCTACGCGTGTACTCTTCCTTTAAAGGAGACAAAGGGGTAAGCCTGCCAGGGCTACTGGTACATTGGATGGTTGAGAAATGTTTGTCATTGAAAGCCGTTTCACTTCCTGCCCCATGCCTCAAAGCCGCTCTCTAATTAAGTTAGCCTTTGCTGCTGCTAACGCCACTCGGTGGCTGCCTCATTCTGCCCAGTTTTCATTTGTCAGAACTGGGTTACAATAATGGAACACTTGGTTTCTATTGCTTACAATTATACTTCAAGGCAGATAGCTAAGGGAGTCAGTGAGTGTCAGGAAGAGGACAGGGGGGTATGCAATGTGAGGGCCAGCCACTGGGGACACAGCCAGCAGGCAGCAACAATCTTTCACCCTGCTCAGCAGAGGTCTGGCTTTCACGGGCTGACCTTGATCTGTGGGAAACTGAGTCCTTAGACTTTTCTATAGACCGAGCAGCTAGCACCCACCCCAAGAGCAAGGGTCACCTCATTTAACCTGTGCCTTTGCTCACTAAGCCCTGGGGTCAGCATATGACTTTCCCCAGTGACAGACACCAAAAGAAACACACAAGATAGCTTTGTGTTCTCCAAACACGGCCAGAGTCCTGTCACTGGGGGCTGCTGGGGCCTGAAGGATCCAGTTACTACAAAAATCTGAGTCATCTTCATTGCTCACAAGAGTCTAGCTTAAAACACAGACAGCCGCTGTGTCTTTCATGCTAGATGTGTGCCAGGTACACCATATAGAATGTACACCTGCTCATTTAATCTTCCCAGGACATACTGAGAAAATGCAGACACAAAGTGGCGAGGTGACTTGACCTGGGTGAGCTGCCAACATGACTATCTATACCTGAGGGGTATGTGAATACAAGCCTGGGTTCCTGAGTCCCAGCATGTCACTGCAGGGCTTTCTGGTCCACGGCTGCCATTCTGTTTAAGAAGACCCCTTGGCCAACTGTGTGGATGCATTTGGTCATTCAGTAAACAGTTTGTGAAGGGTCTTGCACATTGTAGGCCTTGAAGATGAGGAGGTGTAGGACTTAGAGTCTCCTCCTCCAGATGAGATCAGACACCTCCAAGATAGCATGATAGGACTTTATTTGTATCAGAAAGGAGTCTAGGTTCGTATCCCCTCTCCTTGAGCATCCAGAAGAGATTCAAAATCCTACCTGCCTACCTGTTACAAACCACTCCCTCCTCCCAAACTATGGTGTGCATGATTTGTCTCCCTGATGACCTCTGCTCCCTTGCTCCTTGCTGGAAGAATCCTCTTTGGACCAGAGCAGCCATGGACCAAGAACAGCCTCCCCAGTAGCCAGCAGCAGAGCATCACCCCATTTGACCAAGAGGCCAAAGATCTGGGGTGAGTGTATAGAAAACTTTATTTTCTGTATAAAATGAGATCAAGTGGGTCTCAGAACGTCTCCCCCACAGCCTTCATCCTGCTTTTGACAAACAGGACCATGAAAAGTCCATGAGACTGCACGGGCCAGCACTGAAGTGGAGCCCCAGACAGGAAGGTCTCTGGTAGATGACATTATGTCCTCCTTTTGTCACCCCCACAGTAGCCACGCCCCCTACCACCTGTTTTCCTACAGCATCCTACTTCCTTCATGGCTCCCTGAGGTCAGGAGCCACATCACAGGCCTGAGCGCACGTGGGCCCTTCGAATGACTAAAGGTGTCACAGAACCGAATCGGTTCCAAGTGTTCAGAGCGACAATTTCACAAGGGAAGGAGAGCCCGCAGATTGCAGGTTTGATGTGGCTTTGACAAAAGCAACTCAAACCAGTTGAGCAAATCAGGCTCGATTTGTGGCCGGCTTTCCTTGACGGCACCTCCTAAAAGCACAGCTTAACGACTCCACGAACAGTTGTGCTTTCCTCGGATAAGCGGTAGTAAAAGTGCACAGAATAACTCTCTGCTGAAATGGAGAACTCTTTGGCAGCACCTGAACCAAGCTCGTTTGTGCATTTTAAAACAATTTGCACTTGGCCTTGGGCTGTGCTGTGCTTGCCCACATCGCCCCGATGGTGCCAGTGTGGGATTACTCTGCGATGGCACACGCACGCTCCCTGCCAGGACAGAGCCATCACCCATATGCCCTCCTTCCTGGCCAAGTCACCTAACAGCAGTGGCAGTGGTCTCTCGTAAGGGGCACCGCAAGGCAAGGACTTTTCAGCTTCCCTAGTGCTTGGAGAGGAAAAGCAAGAACCAGGGTGAAGGGAGGATGTGGACCACACCAAGTCGGAGCTTCCAGCGAGCCCCAACACTAGCTATCACCTGACCATTACGTTTTGATGGTGACGATGATGATGCTCGAGGCTGGAGATGTGGCTGGTGGTGATGATGACGGCTGTAACGATGATGTTGATGGTGTTACTCTCCTCAAGGTCATCCATCTCTTACTGGGGGAAGTGAGATTATCTTGTTGTTTGTTGCCTTCTCTGCTCATAAAATGCACCTAGGCTGGGGTCCATGGAATCTGCTGAAAGTAGATTCGTGCCTGAGAAGATGGCCCAGTGGGTAAAGTGTTTGCTGTACAAATATGAGAACCCACGTTTGACTCCCCAGAACCCACATGAAGCCAGACATGGTAGCATTCATCAATAACCCCAGCACTTCTACAGTGAGATGGGGGATGGCAGTGGGGGGATGGTGAAGCTTGTGGGTCCCTGAGCATGGTGCACACAGCAACAAGTAATAACAGACCCTGTCTCGTGTGAAGTAGGAGGTGAGGACCAGTCGACACTAGAGGTTGGCCTCTGACCTCCACAGGTGCGCTGCGGCAGACCTCCACACACCACACATCACAGACATGTAAGAAAGTGAATTCAGAAAACACTGAAGACTGTCCACCAGCCTCTTCCACATTTGTTGTGAAGAGAGGAGAGCAGAAACAGTCCTGTCCACACAGAACCCAGAGACTCCCATAACCCTGTCCTGCTAACAAGGCCAGCAGGTTGTAGAATAGAACTCATAGATTCATCCAAAGCTTTCAGAAGTGCATGCCAAAACCCATCTTGGACCCTTTATCAGATGAGAGACCACACATACCACACAGAAACATGCAGGAATTCATGCACACACATATGCACACACCAATTCTAGGCCGGTTGCGGTATGAGTCCAGGACTAAACTTTTACTCTCCTCTCATTTAGGATTCCATGAGTGCAATTATTCACAAGTTTATAGACGATGCAAGGCCTTAGGAGGTAAGGACACTGTAATAGTGCTGGGATGCCAGCTCACATGTGGCTAGGTCCACAATGCAGTCTTCTCTGTTTCTGGCTGCCCTCTGGACCTCTGACTGGTCCAGGGAAGGAGGCAGAGGCCAAGACACAGCCATGTCTTCACTCTGGCCCCAGAGGTCAGGGAACGGTGGCTTTGGGATCCCACCTCTGCTCTTTGCCAACATCGGCAGCGCCGGGGTGAGGGCTCAAGCTCCAGAGGTTTCTATGAAGGAGATCTAGAATGACACAGGCCACGTTCTCACTGGCTGAGTCATTGCTGTTAGCTGAATCATTTTGAAATATTTTCTAGGTCAGACATGATCATTATAGAAAACTAGAGGAAAGCAGAGCACTCTGGGAAAGGAAAAGGAAATTAGTTACAATCGTCTCTTGGCTAGGAAGAGCTGTTCTACATGTTTTGGTGTATTCTTATACACACACACACATGCACATACACACATGCACACACACACATGCACATACACATGGACATACACACACATGCATGCACACA